AAAGTTTCGTCCCGGGAGGTAGACAGACCTGGACCCGTGTATGCTGGTTCTACGGGAATATTTTTGGTCGACCCTACGGGCTCGGAGAACCCACGGTAAACTCGGCATTTCTGCCACATACATCCCTCGTGGGGTGGGGGCTGTTAAATATTAACAGTCGAGTAGATTGTTCATTACTGTCGAACTCTCTGCCTTGAGCAAAGAGGAACCCGGACGAGGTATTGCCGAAGAGCAAAGTTTCGTCCTTGGAGGAAACAAGCTCTGAACCCGTTTATGTGGGTTCTTAGGGAATAATTTTGGCCGAGTCTACGGGCTCAGAGAACCCACGGTAAACTCGACCTTGTACCGCATACATCTCTCGTAATGGTGGGGCCTGTTAAGTATTAACAGTCGAACAGATCTGTTCGCACTGTGCTGGTTAGAGGATTCCCAGACGAGACTATGTCGAAGTGCAGAGTCTCATGTCAGGAAACAACTACCCGATCCCATTTTATATGGGGTCTATGCGGAATTTTTGGCCGAGCCTATGGGCTCGGATTGCCCCACATTAAACTCGGCTTTGTGCCACATCCTACTTTGTGGGGAGGCTGGTAAATATAACAGTCGAACAGATCTGTTCGCACTGTGCTGGTCAAACTCTCTGCCTTCGGGCAGAGAGTATCCACAGACAAGGCTATGTCGAAGGGCAGAGTTTCGTCACGGGAAACAGCTACCCGTTTTATACGGGGTCAATTGGGAATTTTTGGCCGATCCTACGGGCTCAGATTACCGTACATTAAACTCGGGCTTGTGCCACATCCTACGTCGTGGAGAGTCTGGTAAATATAACAGTCGAATAAACTGAACGCTGGTTCAAACGACACACACTCACTAGTCGTGTAATACTTACTCGTGTTGTACTTACTGTCAATATATGATATATTTGCAACACTTGTTTTGTTATTTCTTTAACCATTTACTTGGTAACAACACTGGCCAAACAGATACAATTTTTTAAATAATTAAACGGTGAATAATTATTCAAAACGGTTTGAATTAGTTAAGCCAAAGTCGTAATAATCTTATTGACAAGTCTCGGATGTCGATGAAGAAATGATATGGTTATTGTGCAACCGTGGCTCCATATATGCTAAATAAATACCTGCTCATTTCCAAAAAAATATTAAAATTACATAATGATTATACATGGAATCCTTTATTTAAAACCCATTATTATTTAATAGCAAATTATAAGGCGTGATAAGGAGCAGAAAGAATAAAACGCGAACATTATTAGACATTATTTAAATAAAAAAATCGATTAAAATTTTGAAAATCTTTACGAAAACTTTTAGCAGGTATATCGTTCTTTCTAAATACGTATTATACAGTGTGTGGTAGGAATCCCCACCGTATAATTGTAAGACATTAGCTAAATGAACACACTATTGTCACTAATATATTACCATTATGTGCGAGGTATTTCTGGGGGCGGATAAGTGGGAAGTATTTCTGCTACACCGTGGACAATAAAATTTTGCTGATGTTTATATAGAGTAAAAGAAAGTGAAATCGGCGAGCCAGGTTCAATTTCGCATTAATGCCCTTGAGAAAAGATCCAACACTCTTTTCCCAGCTATGGATAAAATAGTAAAGCAGACTGAAATCTTTAGGTTTGGCCAGCAGCCATTTTAGAAGAACGAATCTAAATTTCAAATCCTGGCGAAGGCAACGGGAAACCACTCCGTTGTATAAGAAGTTATGCTAATTCACAGATATCATAAAAGGATTCCGTGGGGAGCCATGATCGCCTACATCCTGAAGAGAATGGCATTTAGAAAACGTAATATAATTTAACAAATAGAACCAAAAGTTACCAAACAATACAATATTTTAATTTATTTTAATAAAAACAAATATATTGTGATTTAGTATTTAGGCAAATAATTCAAAACTATTTAAATTTAACGCGTGAGACTTCTCTTTTTTTTAACAGAAGCTGTTGGCAATTTCGGACATAGTAGAAAACAGGTCACATGATATATCATCTAATTTAGTGAGCAATGAAAACTTCCTATACTCTTTACTTCTTGGAGTATTTTAAATATCCTCCCAAATATAAATAGTCAGGGCCCAGGGAGTCACGACTCGATTACAGGGATGTCAAGACGCCCAAAGCAGGTCAATTTCAGCAACGAGTAAGTTATTCCTACGACCACAACATACACATAGAGAAATAATTTTTCTTGTTCTAACCTATAATACAAACTAAAAACAATTACGAGACTGAGAAATTCTAATTTAACTCTGTGTCTACAAACACTTACTATAAATGAATATATCTATTATGTCTTGGCATTGTTTTAAAAAGCACTTGTTATATATTCAGTCTGCCATTTTTTTCATTCAGAATCTTGTCCGTTAAGTGTGTTAATGTCTTCAGTGAACAATAAGAACATAATTTCGACACCAACGGAGGTTTTATCAGCAATAAATAAAGATGAAATAAAATAACGCTAAGAATGAAATAAAAAGAAGTACATAAACCATTTAGCAACAATGGGAATATTTTATTTTCAAAACATTTAAAAATTATTCAAAGTAGCATTCAACTGAGATTTCTTAAAGAGAAGTAGATACTTACATTAAATAAAATATTTCCACTATTTTTTCTACACAGAAATCCTCTTAGAGAAATAAATTTAGTCATCGTTGCAATAAGTACAGAAAGTTTTATTTTCAATAATTGCTAGAACTCTTGAATTTCTGTCAATTTTTGACTAACATAGACAAACATAACCGCAACCAGGCGAAGTGTCAAAAGGACGGTTTTTCCCCTGACACCGCTTTTGTTTCAACTACCTTCACTCTTTGACAATGATTATTGTTTTAAAAAGCGATGATCAGAATTGAAAAAAAAAACAAAAAAAACTAAGCCTATGAATAAAGTGAAATTTATACATTTCTTTTGTTCTTAAGATTTTACAACAAAATATTAAACAATATTGATTTATTAGATTGTTTATTTTAAAGGATAATTTAATATTTACAACATTTTCAAAGCTAATACAATTAAAACCAATGCAATGCAATATTTATCATTTACGAATTTATAATAATAAATGAATAAATATGAAAACAATTTTGTATTCATAAATCTAAAAACATTTACTAACTTATTAAAATATCTGAACCAACTCTAAGGAAATCCTTATTATTTAAAATTTTATAAAGTTTGAATCAATTGGTATTTTTAACTGATATTATGCCAACCATTCTCGTAAATAATTGATAAGAAGTGTAAATAAATAATCGAATAAATAAATAGTGTTTATTATTTTTGTTGCCAATTCTCAAGAAAAAAAGAAAATGTTGAAATTCTAATCATCGCTTTCTAAAACAATAAACATTACTGAAGAGTGAAAGTAGTTAAAAAAGCGATGTTATGGAAAAAGAAAATGTCCGTTTGACACTTCGTCTTATTCCGGGCTCTAAGGTACATGTTTGCCTTTTTTTTTTTAATGGGAATATCTCAGGCGTTCGTTTCTTTCCATTGATTTTTAATCCTGATGTTTTTACAGACAACGAAAGAAAAAAACCTATGGGCATAAATATCTACATTATACTACTTTGAAGGAAAATAATTTTTGTCTCTAACAGTAGTCTCTATTATTTTGAATGCTATAAATTCTATGAAATTTGAATTAACTTTTGTTTGTGACTACCTTAAAAGCAACATAATAAAAGCTGCTACGGATGGCTAATTGACCCTCCGGCCAAAAACAAAAGAGACCTCTGGTCCAGCTTAGAAAACAGCAATGATAATTTTAAAGAAATAACTTTGAATTCCTCAGTTAACTCAATGGAACTTCAAAACCTCACTTTAATTCTGATTCGGGCTATAAGTCCAATTCCGGCCAAAAGATCGATTTGGGTCGAAACTCCAATCAAGGCTGAAAATTGAATTCTTCAAATCACAAACTCTGCTGAACTTTAAAAGCTCAAGTCACGAAAGCTCTTACTTTAATTCTGATTCTTTGGTATTTTAAAGAAATAAAATTGATTTCCTCAACTCACAAAGATTTGGAAATATTTTAGACTCAATTTAAAACAAAGATTTTTAAATTCGCAAAGTTTTTGTGTTATTTTAAACGCAATGTTCATGTTGTCGAAAATTGGAAGTTATTTGTTATCTTTCAGATTTTGAGACCAGCAAAATGTGTACTTGCAAAGTACTGGCGCTAAAATTCTGAAAATAATGACCTTGTGCCAAACTTGAGAAAAATGAATAATCTCAATCATCATGTCCAGCTTTTCAGTGCAGTCCTTCAACCCAGAAAAAAACAAACAAACTACGATACCGTAAGGGGGTGGAATAAGCCAGTGTCCCACGGATAAAGTAGACGGGAACCATCCACAATGGAAACGTAGGCGGTGTATATTCCCTAGCAGCACGGTGTCAAGGTGGAGGCGAGGTTCTCACTCACAGGTGTGCTCACCTGGTCTAAGCGAAAAGCTAATGTATTCATACGTACACCATGACCTATTCACCATGGTCACCGCTGGCTTTAGTATTTTTTAATTCAACTCCCAAAGTGTATTTTTTTCTTCTTTTCTTTTATGTTTGTCTACCTGATTGAGAAATTACGTGGGTTATATTTGCACATATTAAAAGTTACGTTACTAGGTTAGTAGATAGATACAAATGAACTGACTTGTTACATAGGCTTTACACTTACTCAAAAATAAATGATTGGGTGCGTTTGTTTAGCGGCATGTCATTTAATACCGAAGTCTAAATATCTTATACGCAATTTTATTTTTATTACTTTGGAGGTAATAATGGTTTAGTGGTGCAACTGATTTTACTAATTAGCCCATAGCTGGCGGGGATAAGAGGTGGATTCATGCCTTTCCCAAGGGGTTTTGCGCGTAGGTGAATATATCCCAAAATGAATTGGAAATCGACTTTCCGATTAACAATTTCGAGCTATTATCCATCACCTGCAAAAGCAAGCTTAGAGCACCAAGAATTCCCAAGCGGTCACCCATCTAAGTACTGACTGACCATGCACTACATTGCTTAACTTCGCTGATCGTACAGGAACCGGTGTTTTAACGAGGTCACCGTAAGCTGATAAATAAATAAACTGATAAACAATTGTTTAATACTCTCTCTCTCTCTCTATCTATATATATATATATATATATATATATATATATATATATATATATATATATATATATATATATATATAATGAAATGGACAAAAGTCCGACAATTATTTTAAGATATATTTTTTATGTTTTATACGTTCTTTTTATAGATATAAATATTTAAGTAAATGCTCTGTTTATAATAAACAGTATTAACAACATTTACCGGCCTGAATGTCCGAGACATTTTCATAGAAAATATACGTCCTCCGGTAAATGTTGTTAATACTGTTTATTATAAACAGAGTATTTACTTAAATATTTGTATCTATAAAAAGAACGTATAAACATAAAAATGTCTTAAAAGATATATATATATATATATATAATTTGTGTATTTAGACAGCAATCCTTTATCCAGCACATTTAATTGAATACGACAGACAAAGTACTTTGATTTATTTTTTTATACAATTTCTCATATGATCTAACGATTTTTTTCTTTTCAGATGATAAATTATATAAAAACTCTCCGAATGTTCTTTTTTCCGAGGGCTTTCGGCTATACATTTAGTCATTTTCAAGGATGAAATATTTTAACTGCTAAATAAGAAATAGTTTGTTGCATGTATGTATTTATATAATGGTTTTCATTTTTCAAAACACGGTCAAGATATTGTGTCCATGTTCATAGTTGATATTATTAAGTGTTGGTTTTTTGTTTTTATTAATAAGGCTTCTATTATTTTTAGCCTTTTTTTGCATGTAGATGATGCGATTATATTTATGTTGTTAACAAGTATGTTACGAATACGGTCCGGTAGGTCTCCATATATATATATATATATATATATATATATATATATATATATATATATATATATATATATATACACATGGCTTGGGAGAGTAGAGATTCTGTTAGGAAAGGTGATATTGGAATCACTACTCTCCCAAGACAACAAATATTAAGAAATCAAAAGAAAACAGTTGAATCCGTCAACACAACAATACAAACAATACTTCTACACGTGAAAATATTCTCTTCAAACAAAGTAATTGACGTAATGTTTCACTTGATCATAGGAATATACAATAGGGTGTCTAAATTATTCTAGTTGCCAGTGACATTTTGTTTGTGGTTTATAGATACTTTGTTTCAATAGATTCATTTCGTTATTTTTTTGCCTTGAAAAAGTCCACATTGGACGAAACGCGTCAGCTAAAACAGCAGTTTTCCGATTGTCTTTTTCCTTAATACATATTGTCTTTTTCTAGAGGTTAATCCAGATAATTTTTACACACACACACACAAATATATACAACCTAAACAAAATCAATTATGGCATGTCTACAAATATTCTTAAATGTCTATAATTTCTATAATTGGTAACAGAAGCCATTGGTTTATACCAACGGCTTTCCTTATTTCATTCTACAATTCACTCTCGTGTAGTCATGTGTGACGTCATGAGATGCGGTGCGATTTTCGCTTCTAGCGTCTTATATGCGCGTGTTTATCGTTGCTTAGTGATCCACTATGTAAACAATGACAGACTATCATCACTGTCGTGTCCGTATATTGTTTAATATGTTTGTGATTTATATCTTTGATAATGGCTTAAGCCGAAAGCTTAGATTATATTAAAAATAATGGATAAATATTGTGAATTTCTTTCTTCGTTTAATGATAATGTTATCAAACTTATCAGAAGATACGAAAAATTTTTACATAAAATAAATAGACAACACTTGTCTATATTATTTAATGAAACGTGTATAAATGAAAATATGCTGCCTAAATACACACAATTTAAATTACATGATCCAGCAGCCCACAATACTATCAATACTTGGAATTACAAATGTAGCCTTGTGAAAAGGCAAATCGAAATATCAAGGAAAAATTAAACAACTTTAACAGCCAAAAAACAGGACATTTACGATGAACTACAGGATATAACTACCCCGGACCAACTGGAGGAAATTACACATAGACTCACGGAAATTACCAATAAATCTGAAGCTCAACACCGAATTAAAATTATAAAAAAACTGAATACATTATACAAAGGTAATATCACTCTTCCTAACAAAACTGATAAATACATTAACCTTTCCAACTATGAACTAACTAAGCACCAAAAAGAATTACTTAACCTTGGACCTAACTGCCATATACAAGAGCGAATGCCCATATTACTACAAAATAGCAATTATAAAGAATCTAATACATCGTGCAGAAACTAATTCATCCACAAAACAGATTTTTTACAGTGAACTAAAGAATATAAAACAGACACTTATTAATAATAGCTTTCCAAACTATATAGTTGATGAACAAATAAGATGCTTTCTTAGAAATCTCAATAATAAGCAAATTGTACATAATACTGCTTCTACTGATCTCAAATATATTAATCTCTATATCGTAATCAAATGCATACTAATTATAAACAAGATGAAAACATACTAAAAAATTTAGTAAATTCTAATATATCAACTACAAATCCTAGCAAAAAAATTAAATTAATCATATACTACACTAAATCTAGTATATCCAACTTAATACTTCGCAATGATTCTTCTCCCCGGTTAGCGATTTGCAAAAACCAACATAGTTTATAAATTCAAGTGCCCTTTGGGAGAGTGTATCTCCAACGAATTAAATAATATTTATGTTGGTCACACCACAAATTCGCTCATTATATATATATATATATATATATATATATATATATATATATATATATATATATATATATATATATATATATATATATATAAGTGCTGGGAGCAAAATTATACAGTTCGATTAAAAGAATTTAATTTTATCTTTCCTGTAGCCATTAAATAATTTTATACCTGGTCATTAGCCTCCACGTGGAGGGTTAGCAAACTTTTTATTGTAGTGGGTTCGATTCCTCCGGGGGATCTATATATGTAGCTTTGTGTCAGACTAAGCAAAGCTTAGTAAATAAAAATACTAGACGTGGGAAAGATCAACGTCATGTTTATACTAACTGAATAATGACATCTCTAATTGATGAGCTATGGTTGTGTTTATGAAGATGACATGAAAAAGGAGTACAGCTGATCCTTATAAAACATTGCAAGGAATAAAATTTCTCTAAGACTGAACTCCGATGCCTCACTTGGCAATTTATGCGTGCTTCCAAATCACTAAGGCGTTGGATTTGCTACATGTACCACGAGCGCAATGAAAGCCTCTTTCTTACGTAATGCGATATAATGATTAAAAAAAAAGAAGAGTTTAGCAATGATAGTCTTGCAAAGGGAGACAAGCGCGAAGGGGTAGAAAGGAAATAGAATAGGGATATTTGAATGTGAATTATATTTACACCAAAGATGGAAACTTGAGCCGAATTTTCAAATATCAGTTGCATTAAGAAATTGCTTGTATGCAAAACGCGCACAAACATTTTACTTATCCAAGAGAGAGAGAGAGAGAGAGAGAATGAAAGAGAGAGAGAATAAGGAAATGAAATGAGAGAGAGAGAAAAATAAAAATTGCGAAACCAAAGTGAAAAATATCAGAGTAAAAGCAGATGTGAGTGAGAAGGGCATATATATATATATATATATATATATATATATATATATATATATATATATATATATATATATATATCCGAATGTATGAGAACGAAGATAATATATAAATTCTAACGTTCACAGCATTAATTCAAAAGAAGGCTCAATGCCGATAGTAGAGCAATAATTATTTATTATAATTTTTTCATATAGACAAAAACAATTTACTAACTACAAAGATGCAAACACGTTTCGGTGCATTTAGTTGCACCTCGACTGGTGAGAATCAAAATGGTTATAAACAATTAACCATTTTGGTTCTCACCATTCGAAAACTAAATTAACCGAAACGAGGTTGCATCTTTTTAGTGAGTAAATTGTTTTTTTCTATAGAAAAAAAATTATAATATATAAAATATATATATATATATATATATATATATATATATATATATGATATTTTTGTTTCAAAATATGATTCCTTCGCTACATAAGAGTTCTCATGTTTCAAAAACGAGAGCCGAAAATCCAACTTAAAAGATGAAACGGGGCTAAACACCTCAATTCAGCTTAATTTCAATAATTATTTGGATGGTTTCGGATTTCGTTTTGAAACATGAGAACTCTTATATAAGGAATGAATTATATTTTTAAACAAAAAAATATAATATAAGCTTTACTTCTGTATGGAGCACTGTCTTCTTAAAAATAAAAACAAAAATACTAAGGAACTCCGGATTATGCACCCAACGTGTTCTTTTCTATTTTCTGCATACCTGCGCACTTATATATATATATATATATATATATATATATATATATATATATATATATATATATATATATGTATGTATGTATATATTTATATACATATATATATATATATATATATATATAGAGAGAGAGAGAGAGAGAGAGCAAGATAAAGGAAAGAAGCAAAAAGAAATAGAGAGTGAAGGAAAAATAAGGAACGACAAAAAAGAGAAAGAAGCTGTACATGATATAATGGAGAAATAACTTCGAAATAAAGAACAAAACAGGCAGAGAGAGAGAAAGCGTGTGTGTGTGAGAAAGAATAAGAGAACGTATTAGCGATGGAAAGAAGGAAAAGGAAAACAATGAAATGAAAAATAGATGGAGAGAAAGAGAGAGAGGGAAAGACTGGGCACGAGACACGAGGAATAACTGCAAAAAGAACAGATCAGAGGGCGAGGAAGTAGTAGTAATAGAATGAATGAGAAGGAGAGACAGAGGGGGTAAGAAAATGAGTGAGAATGAGAGAGGGAGTAAGAGAATGAATGAGAAGGAGAAAAAGAGGGAGTCAGACAATGAATGAGAATGAGATCGAGAGGGGAGTAAGAGAATGAGTGAGAAGGAGAGAAAGCGAGAGTAAAACAATGAGTGAGAAT